TGTTAACCTGATTTATACATCATTCTAAGGCAGGGTTTAATTTGCTGCGAACTGATTACAGTACAATTGGTTGGCTATATAAATGTGAGGAATAAAATAAATAAATTCACATGTCACACTCAACCATATACTGCAGATATACTGTAGGCATAATGGCTCTGGTTACATAAAACTGTGACAAAATCAAAACCAAACATATAATGGTTTGCAATATTGTGTAAACCATGTAGCAGAATTCTCTTGGGATAATCTATTAATTGGACTTAGTCTTAAACACAGTTATAAATCTAGTGTCTCAATCTAATTTAAGTTGGTTCTATTCAGGTTTATGATTAAGATAAATTGGGGGAGGACAGCACTTGCCACATCTGGCTCACTGAAATCCATCCAGCCACCCATAATGGATGAGTATCCATTAAATGCATCCGGTGCTTAGAAATAGGCTATATAAATCTTATGTTTAAGTACTTAAGTTCCATTCTTCATCTTAAAATAGATAATGTAGTCTGCAACTTACAACAGCTTCTTCAGTGACCATTCAGAGTTATAACAGCACTGACAAAAACTAACTTATTTTTCATAGTTACGATCACTGCAACATTCCCATGGTTACATGATCAAAATTCAAATGCTTGGCAACTGACTCATATTTATGAGTTGCAGCAAGGGTGAAATGTAAAATTTGTTACTACCGGTTCTGTGGGCGTGGCTTGGTGTGTGTGTGTGTGTGTGTAATGTGACTGGCTGGGTGTGGCCAACTTTAAAAAAAAAAAACTTTTCAAAGCATTTTTTCTAATGCTTTGAAAAGCCTCTGCCGATCAGGCAACTCAGCTGGGATCGTCAGAGAGGCTTTTTAAAAAATGCTTTGAAAAGCCTCTCTGAGGATCAGGCAACTCAGCTGGGATCGTCAGAGACTTTTCGAAGCATTTTTTTTACTACCTCTTCGGCCAAGAGGTTGTAGAAAAAATGCTTTGAAAAGCCTCTGACGATCCCAGTTGAGCCGCGCGATCATCAGAGGCTTTTTTTTTTTACTTTTAAAAGCATTTTTTGTCGGAAGAGGTTGTAGAAAAAATGCTTTTAAAAGTAAAAAAAAAAAAAGCCTCTGATGATCGTGCGGCTCAGCTGGGCATGGGGGAGGGGGCGCAGGGATTTTTGCTACCGGTTCTCCGAACCACCTGCCGCCATCGCTACCGGATCAGGCGATCCGGTCCGAACCGGGAGCATTTCACCCCTGAATTGCAGTGTCCCAAAGTCATGTGATCACCTTGTGCCACCTTCTGACAAGCAAAGTCAATGGAACAATCAGATTCACTTAACAACCATGTTACTAACTTCACAATTGCAGTGGTTCACTGCAAACTGTGGCAAGAAAGGTCATAAAATGGGACAAAATTCACTTAAGAAATGTTTCACTTAACACCAGAAATGTTGGGCTCAATTTAAGACATAAATCAAAGACTACGTGTATTTAGAGACCATGTTTTTAATATCTCTACCTGGATCAAGAAGCTGTTGGGTTTTTTTGTTTCAGGAAAACAAGGTTTAATGCTGATGTGTTATTGTGCTCATTGGATATGTGTGCTGTCAATAAAAGACCAAAATGCACCAATGAGGCACATGTTTGTTGTGTTGAAACCACTGGCTTTTATCCATATATACATGTGCTAAGCTGGTGCTTTTTGCTTATGCTTGCTTCTCTAGCAGATCCCAAAAATGAAGTGAAGGCGTTTTGAAAGATTTATGTAAAGGATGCAGAACTTCTTCTGTCTTTTTCTAGCAGAGGCTTGCTGTACTAAAATAAAAAAGGTTAGACGCTCCCTGGTAACTGAGTTCATAAATCACAGTAAGTCATGTGGTCTGTTCTTCATTTAGTTCATAGCATGAAGTCAGTCAAATATTATACGCTAAGCAAGCCACGACTTTCTGCGATATGCGAAACTAGCTAGTATAATATCAAATTGCAAAAGTAATTAGTATGATTGCTATGTTGGAATTTCTCAATTGTTGTATGGTATTATGGCTGGGTGTCATGGTGAATAGCTTATAGCCCAGTACATTATTAGAAATTATTGCTTAGGCATGACACTCTACACATGAATTAACATTAATCATGATTCAGCAAATGTGTCAGGGATATCACAGCACACCACAACTGATGACAAACTGACACTGTTTCGCTTTTAAATATATTTCCAAACTAAAATAACAATGCAGCCTGATCAAGACAGGATAATCACATGTGGCTTTGGAAGTATTAACACCCAGCCTTCTATATTCTACATCCGTGATGGTGAACCTATGGCACGTGTGCCAGAGGTGGCACGCAGAGCCCTCTCTGATGGCATGCGAGCAGTCACCCCAGTTCAGCTCTGCTGCGCATGCGCCTCCCACCGGCCAGCTGGTCTTCGGGTCTCTGCTGCGCATGCATGAAGGGGAGGGGCACGTGCGAGGGGCCATGTGCACATGCACGGGGATGGGGCGCATGTGGGGGCAGCAGGCTCATGTGCGGGACACGTGTGGGGGCACTGCATGCGCATGGTGTGTGTAGTGTATGCATGCGTGGGGATGCGTGCGCATTGCATTTTGGGGGTTTGGGTGCGTGCTTAGGGCACTTGGTCCGGAAAAGGTTAGCTATCACTGTTCTACATAGAATACATTCTATGCTCAAAATGAAGAAGTCCAGACTTATTATCTTTGCTAGTCTTAAGTGAGGCCTAAACTAAAATGTTCCCATGTCACACAAATGGAAGACTGCTGATGTTGCTCATACAGTCATCATTTCTACATTGCCTTGATGGTTGGGATCCTTATCAGTAGTAAACCAAACATTTGCAAACACCAAATTTTATTTGGCATTGCTAAAATATAAAGTCATTGCAACAAAACATGACTGTGTTGCAAGCCTTTTGGATGAAATGTTTATTCCGACAATCCTTCAACATGATGGAACTGAGTAGCTCTAATAAATCCAAATAAATAATGCTACTTTGAGGGCTAAAACAGATGTAGTATCTTTCATGCAATTAATAGCTCATGAATGTTTTAAAACAATAAATGCAGGCTGGATTAGAAACAGGGATCATAATAAACATTGTATCTGTTTATTTAATATCAAGTATTCATATATTTGCTAAATATATATCTATACTGGAAGTAGGTCTATGTCCTAGAGGTGCTTTTTCAAGAGGCAACTTTTTCAAGAGCACCTTTGGGACAACCATGTTCTGACCTAGGCTTCCTGATATAGCACACAATTAGTCCCAAAAGCCTTTTTATTTATTTTAACGGCTGTGAATTCCTTTCATTCACAGCACGTGCTGAATCACCAAGAGTTTATAAATAATCCAACAGAAGTCTGCCACAGTCCTTCGGATAAGGCTGGTAAACACCCATCTTTATCTTCTTTGACACGCTGCCAAAGACCTAATTGGCAATTATCTTGGCAAGGCCACACGGAAACACAGAGTCAAAAACGGAGCTTCAAAGTACAAACCGACACTATCCACAACGTTGCTTCCTGCAAAGGCCCACATGCCTTTGCTCTTCCTTTATGTCTTATGGGAGGGGCCAATCGTCTCCAAGCCTTACTCCCGAGTCGTCCCTTTTGTTTTAACCTAGTGCACATGCGCGCACTAGGAACAGGCTCCCCCTGTTCCTCTGCCTCTCTGATGTCTGACTCTGGAGGCTCCGGAGTCCGCACATAACTCCCAGATGGCCCTGGCCCCATCTCTGCCTCTGATGCAGAGTCCTCGTCCGAGCCTTCCCCAGACTCCAGGACTGGCCCATGTTCCTCCCCAGCCTCCTCGCTGTCTCCTCTGCTGCCAGGTCCGCAGGCTGCTGGCAGACCACAGCAAACCATGACTAGGATGACTGAGAATCTCCATAGACAAGTAGGTCTATGCTTTCTTCCTGGACTTCTGTTCTTTCTTCTAGTTCAGGATTGGAAATGTAACTAGAAATTGCAGGAAGCAGCTACTTTATAAGACAACTCCTGATGTTCTGCAGCTATTCAGATTCCCTGCCAAGCCATTATGGTTGGTGTGGTATTACACCAACCAGGAGAGGGTTCCCTGGATGAGCCGTGGTGGCACAGTGGTTAGAGTGTAGTACTGCAGACTACTTCTACTGATCACTGGCTGCCAGCAGTTTGGCAGATCGAATCTCACCAGGCTCAAGGTTGACTCAGCCTTCCATCCTTCCGAGGTCGGTAAAATTGCTGAGCACATTGTAAGCCGCCCTGAGTCTTCGGAGAAGGGTGGCATATAAATCAAAAAAAAAAAAAAAAATGAGGACCCAGATTGTTGGGGCAATATGCTGCCTCTGTAAATGGCTTAGAGAGGGCTGTAAAGCACTGTGAAGTCTAAGTGCTATTGCTACTGCTTTTTAAAGCAAATGGGTACAACCCGTGGCCTGCATGTGGCCCTGGGCAGCTAGCAATGCTGCCCCACAAGATCATAAACTAAATACACAGTCACTATATTATATATTTTATATACAGCCCAAGATAATTCCTCTTCATTCAATGCAGTCTAGGCAAGCCAAAAGGTTGGACACGCCTGATTTCAAGTAAAATTTCTCCTCCACAAGAGCAGAAGGAATGCAATTGAGTGGGTTGTGGTTTATGGCTACAGCAGCCTTCTTGGATTTATTGCCCTTTGTATATGCCAGATCTGTTGATCTTCAAGCTCCAGAATTCTCAGAACCAGCCTTGCTGAAGATCACAGATCCAATATATTTGGATACTAAATATATTTGGAAGACACCAAAATCAATATATGTCTTCCTTCAGATCTTATTTAAGAGGTAACGTGTCTGGGCTAGTCACATTCTTAATAAAAGAAAAAAATAAAATCATTCGGGATTAAAGCACTGTCCACCATGTGTGTTCCTTAATAAATTAAGAAAAACAATATTAAATTTCTTAAAATTGTTTTCTGAAACATGCTGGAAATGGAACATTTGGAAATAACATAAGGCATGTGGATTTTTTTTCCCCTTACCATATTGTAAGTGTAATTTGTCTAACAAAATCTTTGGGATGCTTCTTCATAGGGAAGGAGTCCTTGTGTTGCTTTGGGCCCTATGGAAGAAATTTAGAGATACAATTATAATAAAGAAAACTGAAGCATGCCCAAGCAAATTCAACAACTATTTTGGTCAAAATAGCAAACAAAAAACAAACAAACAAAACCCAAACAAATCCAACCCCCCCCAAATGGTATTAATTTAGTGGCACCCCTTGCTTTTGAGCTCAGTGATGAAATCAACAGATGATTTGCTTGAATGCTGTTTTCAAGTGCAGATTTCATTTCAGCTTACTCAGATGTGCTATTAACTAGCCGAGTGGCATACTTCTTTCTGCTTAAGAGTGAATGCATCAGAAGGAAAGGTGGGCATGATATCAGTTGAGTAGAGTTATAACGAATTAATGAACAAAGATCCAAATTTCATAGGCTGGAATAAAGCTAGAATCCAGAATGTCTACCTTAGTTGGGTTTAAAGCCAAAGACATAACCTGTGGACCGTATAAGGATCCTTGAATATATCAAGGGAAAAACAAAATGATGATTTTGGCCTACTGTGATTCAAGGACTGAAGTTAGAACTATGTATATATTTAATAATTAAGTTATTTTGTAACTACCACTGACTTTCTGATTAAATTCTAAACGACAAATTAAACATTCTATCTATATATCCCTGTTTTAATTTTATGGGGAAATTGCCTAGGGTTATTTTTTAAATGTACTTTTTTTTAAAACATAAAAGTTGTGCTTCTTAATAATACAATGGTTAAGAAAGATTGCATTGGGTTGTCACACTTGGTGGCCACCATGTAGGGTTTATGAGCCAGAACGTGAGGCTGGAAGAACACAAACAAGTCTGTGCTGTTTTCTGGTGGCATGGGAAGGGGCAGAACAAGCATAGCTATGGGATTTACAAGGGTGGTATTTTAAAGTGACACTAACCTTTTTCAGTTGAACTGGAAAGGTTTTTTTTTTTTTTAAAGTGTATTTAGAAGAAGGTAATGGCTAACTACTTCCAAACTGTTGCAAAGCAAACAAGAGGGATGTGTCCACGTAGCTACTATATGTGAGTTAGGCAAGTTAGCATTTCTCAGGCCAAATACCGTGCAGATATTCACAATCCCTATCAAGAGCCAAGCAGAATCTATTAATTTATGGAAAGGGCAGGAAAAAAAAACGATGGGTTTAAGGCATTGTAAAGTGCAAGAAGATGACTATTCAGGGAAAGCACAAGCAATAGTTTCATTTTAGCTTCATTCATATCTTCAGTAAACAGTCTTTTGTAGCTGAGCCATACCTATGAGATTTCTGCCAAGTCCTCACCTAGGAATCATGTGAAGCCCTATGAAGTCACGAGATCTGTGATTCCCTGCCAAATCCTGGTACAGGAGCTTGACATCATGTGGCATTACCTCACCAACTTTACTTAATCTTTAAAACACTAAGCAGGGTCAGTTCTGGTTTCTCCCTGCATGGGAGACCAACAGAAATTAGTACAGGTAGTCCTTGACTTATAACTGGTGGCTTAGCAACTGTCCAAAGTTATAATAGACCTCCCTGGAGGTCCTTATAACCCAGTTCTGAAGGCCAGGTCTCCGCCCACAGTCACGTGACCACATCAGGTGTTTGGCAACTGGCCCTCATTTACAGCTGTTTGCGATGTCCTACAATCATGTGACCACATCTCACAAGGCTTTTGCTGAAAACTGACATTTACTTCCGGTTTTTGGCAAAACCAGCCCATAGCCAATCATTGATTTGCTTAATGACTGCTGCAATAAAGGGTTGTAAAAGTGGGCTGGTCATGTGGGTGACCTGTTTTATGATTGTCACAACTATGATGGTGATGGGCAGGCTCCCTCCATTATGGTCATAAGTCGAGAACCACCTATACGAAGTCTTAAGGCTAGCCCAGTGCTTCTCTTCTTCTTTATTACCCCAAAGCCGCTTACCAGAAAGTCTTTTATTTAAATTTTGCTGTTATGATTGGATAATGAAATGTCTTGTTATCCCAAGAAAACCCCATCTTATCTAATTTTGAGTAATTTACTCAAAGCGTGGGCTACACTAAGTGAACAATCCCCCAAGAAAGCAGTTTCAATAGGTGACCAGAATGTTACAAAGAGGCAAAATGTTGGAAGTGGCATCACAGTCTCAGCCCCAAACCTTTTGTACATGCAGTGCTACATTTGTCCCTTTTTGATCCCTGGCTCCCATGGACACTGCTGAGTAAACCACTTCCGTATTGTTGCCAAGAAAATGAAAGGGAAATGCTCATGTAATTCCCAGGAGCTGAGCTCGATTCCAAGAAGATCCTACCTCAATCTTTTCAGGCTACAACCCGATTTCTGAAATGGTTAGCCAGCCGCCATATGAGAATTCAGGGTGACTCAAAACCCACATAACCCTACCACTATGTTTAGAAATGTGAGTTTTGGATTATAGCTTACATGTTCAAACACTGCAGTTCTGTTGGTGGTCTGACTGTATTTGACTGGTATTCTTTATTATATAAGGTCTAACTATACAATAATTACAAATAATACATAAATTAGTACTTGGGTTTGAGTAATACCTCTTTGCTCAATTCAAGTAAACAAAGTGCTCTGAAGGTAATAGTGAAACAAGTACTGATAATAGCTCTTAGCCCAGCTGTAAGCAGTTGGCTGCCCAGATTTATTAAGGTCACATTGCTTGGAGTAAAACAGGTTTTTTTTTATATGGGATATGGAAAATTATGGTAAAGCAAGCATATTTCCCGCATTAATAAAACTAATAATGATTAGAATCGACATAAGAAACCTAGAAAAATGGAAAACTGCTAGGCATTTTTGAAGGTTTTGTGTATATCACAGCAGGCAATCCTTTGTGGGGATAACAGGTAAGAATATCAGACTTTTTAATTCTTTCCTTCTTTCTAAAACACTTTAGTATCTGCTGACCATTCCTGTATGAGCAATGTGAGCTAAGAAACAATTCCCTGATACAATGCAACATATTATTGTTACTTGAAACTGCATGCCAAGATTTGAAGTTATGTGGCATAAGATTAAGAGACCTATCCAAACTATACCTGTGTAGGCAAAGGGTTGTAACAGAGAAATCTTACAAGCAGAGCAACTGCTCCTACAAGAGATTGGAAACATCCTTTCCTATGACTTAGCATCAGTTCTCTTCCATAAAACAGTTAAGCTAACTGCCTTTTCACAACACTTTTACTCCTCCCACCCCCCATTACTCATGTTAGTACCAGAAATCTGTGGAGCAGGTAACTGTTCATCAGTAACCACAAAGGACAATATGCTGATAAAATGTGATGTAACCAAAGCCTCAAAGATTACTCGATGTGTGTAGTTCTTTTCTGGGAGGGGCGGGGGGAGAATGAAAATAGCCCACATATATTTAGAGGCATTGTCTGGGAATCCAACTATTCCTTTTGCTCAGCCCACCCAGCAAGTTCAAATGATTTACAAATCGCAATCCTTTCCCTTAACAAATCTACCCAACACTGGTGTGTATGAGGATATTTTTGGCTCTTTCTTTACACATCTACATATTCAGTATAGGATGATAGTAGCAAACCCTAGAAGTCTATTCCCCCACCCAATGCCTTAAGAATAAACAACTTTTATAGAAGAGAGACACTTAATTTCTAGACTTGCAACCCCAAGTTCTATGTTCCATAAGTGGGCTTCAAATCCATAGAGATTCCAGAATTCTAGTTGCATAAACTTTCCTTCAATGGGGAGGGAGAAAGTTTTTGGGACTTTTATTTTTTAAGCCCCTGCAGAGTTCATAAAACAGTGGTTAGAGTCTCACAAAATAAATCATTATTTGGTTTAAGTGTAAACTGACTTGTGATTTGTGACCCCTTGTTTATATGACTCAGGGTGCTGTGTAAACCCAGCAAGTTCTACTTGAGTTAAGAAACCATGGTTAAAACAAACAATGACTTAGCACAATGGGCAAACCCTTAAAAGCTGATGTCACAAAACACAGTTGTCTCTCCCACCAAATCCAGAGGTGACGCCAGGTATTCTGTCTTCTGAGGTGGCTAAACCTGCATATTTCCCAATTGGGAGGCTGGCAGTTGAATCTTCCGTAGAGCCGATTAAACAAAACCTTCCACCTGATCAGAATGCAAACTGGAGGAGGCTGTTCATGCCAGATCCCCCCGTTGTGTCCCCAAAAAAGGTAGTGGTAGAACACCGACCCTGTCACATCCATCAAGGCATCCTCTCCTTTGCTTACAAGTGGCTTCTGATCACACCAGTTTGGGAGCAACTTCCTCAAATCGAAGGTCTGAGCCACCGTGGAAATGTTCCTCAAAGCTCTTTTACAGGTGGCCACTAGTCCACAAGAAATATTCATACAGTAGTGTGTAAACAATGTTTTCTCCCTCCCCAGCTATTTCTCCCCACCTGTTGGGACCCTCATTAAACCAAGTTGAGAAAGTGGCGGCATCTCTGGAGCTCCCCTTTTCGGTTAGAAAGATCCAAATGAGGCATACTTTATTCAATCATCTTTATTAATAATGTTATAAAAAGCTCATAAAAAACAGGTATTTTACAAAAAAAAGAAAAGAAAAAAGAAGCTCAATATACCACCAGCTCAGAAATCACATAAATAGACTCGTGGGGTGTTTGTTTTTTTTTGTGTGTTTTTGTGTTTTTTGTGCTTTCCTCAAAAACCAAAACTGGCAATTCTAGCATCTCCCAATTTCAGACTCGGTTTCCTGGCGCTCCATTTCGAAACCGGTCATCATAAAGAAACGCTAGAACTCCCAGCCAAGTAGTTTGCTAGGATAGCGGAGAGAGAGAGAGGAAAAAAAATAAAGAGAGAACACACACCGCTTGGGCACGCGAAACTTCTCTCCAACAGACACACGTGCACGGCAGAAGACCGTTCCCATCGGAAACACCCGCGCACACGTACACCCGAAGCCCGCACGTGCACGCACACGCTCAGCAACAGGCCCTCCAAAAAAAACCAGGAAGCGCGTTTCCCCCCCCCCCCCTCCCCCCCCCCCCCCCACGCAGGGGAGAGGGAGGGAGAGCGAGCGAGCGCTGTTCGTTTACGCACGCAATCAGGAAATAAAGGGAAACAAAACTGCACGTGGAAATGGATGTCAATAACAAATGCTGGGCAAATCAACATGATTTGAATAACGTCTCGTATGAAAACTCACACAGAGCCTCTCGGGAGTTACGGAAAGGGGCGGGAAAGGAAAGCGAAGCAGTTCGAGCTGCCTCTTTTCCTTCCCGTCCGCTTTTCCCTCCGCCGGGGAGTCTTCCTTACACCTGGACGATGACGGTGCTGGGCCCGGCCCGGAGGCTGCTCTTGTACTGGTCGAGCCAGCGCCTGAGTTCGGAGATCTTGTAGCCCTCGGGGCCCCGGCCGCCCTGGTACATGACCTTCCGCTCCTGGATAATGTAGATGCGCTCGAAGTACGCCCCGTAGGCGGCGCTCGAGGCGTTGTCCATGGTGTCCACGGCCAGCGGGCAGCCCGGCGCGCCTTCCTTCATCAGCTGAGCGGCTCGCAGCCGGTCCTGCAAGCACTGGTGCTTGGGGATGTCGTAGGCGGCGTCCGAGCTGACCCAGCCGTCGGAAGGGTGAGCCTCCTCGATGTAGACCAGCAAGAAGTCGGCGACGTCCACGAAGCGCGTGGCCAGGCGCTCGAAGGCGCGCAGGCGCGCCATGAAGGGCGGTCAGGTGCAGCTGCCGAAGTTGAGGATCAGCGGCCTCTTGCCCCGGGCGTAGTCCAGGATGCGCAGCCGCGTGCGCCCGTCCAGCTGGACGACCTCCGGGTTGGGCGCCGTCGCGCCGACGTGCGCCGCCTTGAAAAAGTCCAGTTTCTGCCCGTGCCACACGGCTTTGAGCGACTCCAAGGTGAACATGCGGTTCGAGTCGGAGACGCAGAGCGGAGGGTCGTCCGGCGGGCAGGTCCCGTCGCTCGAGTCGCCGTCCTCGGCCGCCAACTCTTGCTCCTCACCAGGTGTCGCCGCCGCCGCCGCCGCCGCGGTCAGCAAGAGTTTCTTCCGGATGCAGAGAAAATCCAGGAGCCAGAGCATCACAGCGGTCAGGAGGAAGCGGGGCAGGAGGAGCACGCCGGCGGCCACCTGGCTGAGCGCTTGCAAGGTTTGGGCGCCCACGGAGTGTAGCATCGCCGCGGCAGGAGTGGCAGCTCCGCTGGGCACCCACGCTGTGGTCCCGTGCCTCCCGCTCGCCTCCCCCGCCGCCGCTCACTCCCACCACCTCCTCTGGGCGCCTCAGCTGATGAGATCCCGCTTCTCCTTAAACCCATTTTATAGTCGGGGATTTAAATGAAAAAATGACTCCACCTCCGGCCGGAACCCGCCTCCTTTGGAACCTGAGCCCGGGGATTACCTACCCCTCCACTCGAATGACCTAAAAATATACTGGCCAAGAGAAGGGGAAGGAGAGGCGCTGGGGGTGGGTGGGTGGGGGGTGAGTGAGTGGACCGAGGGAACGCGCAAGCGAGCCAGCCCCAACCCGGCTTTGGAAGGACCGGGGGGACGTGCCAGGGAACGGCCGCTCTCAGGCCAGGCAGCTTTAGGGCATGTCCGGGTCTTTTCCCGGGCAGGTCGGGCGTGCCGGGAATAATCGACGCAACAGGCGGCCTTCTCCTCCTCCTCCTCCTCCAACATTGCTCACTTGGGTGTAAACGTGGGCAGCGAGCGAAGGTAATCAATGAAACGCTCGGGACGAGGACTGCCTCCCGCGCCGACCAATACGCGGATCCCCCCCCCTTCCCAAGCACCCTCGGGCAAGTAGTCGCCCCTTTCTTGCCTCTTCTCTTTTCCCGCGCTCGCCACCCCCAGCCTACCAAACGCGGATGGAAAGCGAGGCCGAAGTGAAATTCTTCCCAGAGAGTCTCTCTCTCTCTCTCTTCCCTCCACCCTCCCGCTGCACCCAAACGCCTCGGAAAGCAAACCTCTCACACGGAGCAGCGTCGCCAAACTTCGTCTAAAGTCTCGGAAGAACCGACTCGAGCCCCACCTTCCCCTCGAGGGTTTTTGCCTCCGCCCGCCCGCCCGTCCCCCTTTGCCAGCGGTGAGGCGCGAGAAGCCACGGCTAGTCGGTTAAAAAAAAACACACACACAAAAATTACCTGGCTCGGTCTTTCTCCTGCTTGGGGAAACGGACGCCTTGCCTTTTCGGCCTTCGGGTTCTGCTACGTTGTCCACGTGGCCGTGGAAGGATAGCCGTCGTTATGCGGAAAGAAAGGAGTTAATGCTTGGTTGGTGACCTCGTCTCGGAGTTACCTCGCTGGTTAAACCTGTTGACCGCGGCGAAATCGACGGCGAGATTTAAATGCGCAAGATAAGTTTTGCTTCCCGCAGCAGCCACTAGAGGTAGCTGTCGGCCGAAGGGTGAAATCGGTAGCTCGTAGCCCTCCGCGTGTCTAAACTCCGTTTTTAACCGACGACTTGAGAATATTTGGAATTTAGCAGCGCAAGAAACCAAAGCTTAACCCTCGCATCCTGCACATAAATTGTTTCAACTCCTACCCTCAACACGACGCTATAGAGCACTGCACACCAGAACAACTAGACACAAGAACAGTTTTTTCCCCAGCACCATCACTCTGCTAAACAAATAATTCCCTCAACACTGTCAAACTATTCACTAAGTCTTATTATTAAGTCTTCTCATCGTTCCTGTCACCCATCTCCTCCCACTTATGACTGCATGACTGTAACTTTGTTACTTGTACCCTTACAATTTATATTGATATTGTTTCCTAGTATGATTTGATTGCTTGTTTGTACCCTATGACTATCATTAAGTGTTTGTACCTATGATTCTTGATGAACATATCTTTTCTTTTATGTACACTGAGAGCATATGCACCAAAGACAAATTCCTTGTGTGTCCAATCACACTTGGCCAATAAAGAATTCTGTTCTGTTCTGTTCACTAATTCCATCCCCAAGGGTATAGAGTTCAGTACGATATACAAGATGGAACGAATACACCATCTGAAATTATGAGTCCTTAAACAGCTTTAGGATTCATTTGTTACACAGGCACATTGCATACAAGCACACACTTTCCCCTTACATTAGAAGCCATTCTGTTCCAAGGTGGACTGTGTTTATTCTGGGTCTTAAGCAGAAGTCTTTCCCTTCACCTGCTAGTATACTTCTTTCAGATGGAGATGCCTTCAGTAAACTATTAACAAAACTAAGATCTCTCATGCCATCATCAACAAATTAATGTTATGCAACAGGACTTTCACTTTGTGGTTTTGCTCAGTGGAGTACTTTGAAAACGATTTAGAAGCAGGTTTTGAACCATGCACAAGCCTGCTGTTTATTAAAGGAGCCCATTCTTTTTCAAGCTTCTGTGCAAGCCTGAAAAAATAGATCTGGTGCTTTAAAGCTTGTCTTAATGAAGTAGCAGCAACTTTTTAAGGCTCCAACAGAAACCTTTAAAACGGGTATCCAACCTTGGTCACTCGTGTTCATAAAACTTGTGGGCTTCAAGTTAAAGCATGGCTGGCTGAGAAATTCTGGGAGTTGAAGTCCACAAGTCTTAAAGTTGCCAAAGTTAGACACCTCTGCTTTAAAATATCAGGCTGCTTTGATGGTATAAGAGAGGTCTTGTGTTTGGGTATGTCTGAATCATGGCTTCTAATATCTTTCAAACGGTGTTGGCCCTGTTACGCAAGATAAATTTTGGATAGTATTATACTATATATTGGATTAAACATCCATCTGTTGTATAATAAAATAAACCAACCAAAAAAGAACCAATCTGGAATGGAGAAGTTTCATATTTTTCTAATAACTTGGTGATTATAAAATGTTGAGGGAGAATGGACCAATTGTAGTTCCTGGGTAGTAATCAAGGATAGCCCCTTCTACAGTGCATTCCAGTAATCCAAATGGGAAGTGACCAGGGTGTGAGTGACCCTGACCAAACCTGGTTAAATGACCAAAAGCCGTACAATTTGAATTTGTAGCCCTAAGCTGCATTTCTGGGTTCACTACCAGATTGGGATGTAAGAATATGGATGGCCAGTGGATGGCAGCAAAGCAGTACAGAAAAAAAAGTATGTATTTAAAACATTTATTTATTTTATTTATTTTATTTTTATTTATTTGATTTGATTTTTATACCGCCCTTCTCCAGCAGGACTCAGGACTACTTATATAGCTTCCCATCTTATTTAGCATAATCCTGAGCATAATTTTATGAAGAAAAATAAAAGCATAAACATCAGCATAAAAACTCATAAAATGAACCCTTTACTCTTATTAAGAGGTGCTGTGGATTTTTAATTTCAGTTTTAATTTGGGAATTTTTCCAGTAACCCTAGAAAAGGAGACAGTTCCATATTTCAAAATAGCGAATAAAGTAGATTTAAGCAGTGTTCTCCAGATGTTTGGCTACATGTCTCTTAATCTCTAGTGGTTAGTTGTGCTGGGAAGCCTGAGAACTGAAGTCCAGAATATCTGAAAGGCACTAGATTGCCTATCCCTGATCTAAGGATCCCAAAAACAAAACCAACCTCCACCCCTTACATAATACAAAGTAAATTAAACCCTCCAAAGCTGGAGGTTTTAATTTACTTTTAATCAGCCAACCAATTTTCTGGAGACCCTGGAGATCAGTGAACACTTGTACATTACTGAGCACTTGGCTTTGGAGACTATTGATGACAAGAGGACCAATAATTACAAGAGAGTGAATATGTTCAAGGAAATAGAGCAGTATTTCTCTCTCTCTTTTTTTAATTTTAAAATACAAACTATTGAATTTAAAAATATTGACAAAAAAAAGAGAGAAAATATACAAATTTTCTCACTCATAAAATTTACATTTTCAATCCACAATTACACTAACAAACTAAATATATGTAATTATATAAACACATATATACAAATATACAAACAGTGACTTATTTACCTATTCTATCCATCTGACGGTGCATTTTTTTTTTATTACTTGCATTTCCCCTAATTCTTATCTTTACCCTTTTTTCCTTTGGTTTATCCACTTATACCATCTATTTCATACTATGAAATATTTTGAGTCTTCCTTGTCAGTATTTATACTGAGCAGTATTTCTCAACCTTGGCCACTTTTAAGATAGGTTGCCTTCAACTCCCAGAATTCCCTTTTAGGGCTCCAGCTGAATTTTTTTTTAATTTTTAATTTTATATACTTATTTATATCCCATCTTTATTATTTTTACAAATAACTCAAGACAGCAAACATATCCAGCACACCTCCCTCCTCCTATTTTCTCCACAGCAACAACCCTGTGAAATGAGTTGGGCTGAGAGAGAGTGACTGGCCCAGAGTCACCCAGCTGGCTCTCATGACTAAGGTGCAACTAGAACTAGAATTCACAGTCTTAAACATCAAATCAAACTGACTCTCCTTGTAGCTGGGGAATTCTGGGAGTTAAGAGTCCGTCCATCTTAAAGTGGCCAAGGTTGAGAAACCCTGGAAAAGAGCAATATAGTATATCTACAACTTTTAAGGTTTTGTTGTTTAGGGAAAAAAAAGTTGAGCAAGAAATTATGAAATCGCTACAAGTAATTACAGTATGGTATTAATGAACTACGGTGCTGGAGAAGACTGCAAGGCGATCAAACCAGTCAGTCCTAGAGGAGATCAACCCTGACTGTTCTTTAGAAGGCCAGATCTTGAAGATGAAACTCAAATACTTTGGCCTCCTAATTAGAAGGAAGGACTCACTGGAGAAGAGCCTAATGCTGGGAAAGATTGAGGGCAAAAGAAGAAGGGGACGACAGAGAATGAGATGGCTGGATGGAGTCACTGAAGCAGTAGGCGTGAGCTTGGACTCCAGAAGATGGTAGAGGACAGGAAGGCCTGGAGGAAAGTTGTCCATGCGATTGTGATGGGTCAGACACGACTCCGCAACTAACAACATTAATGTTGAGAAAGATATTAGGTAAGGAGCTGTTTTGTACTGCACTTTCCATAATATTAGGACCCTAAACCACCAAGGAAATGGAATGGTGGAAAATTCAGGATAGATAAGGAAGTGCGGCTTCATACAGCACATATTTCAACTATGGAATTTGCCATTTCAAGAGATGGTAGCAGGAACCTTTAAAGGGTGTGTGTGTGTGTGTTAAACATGTTCATGACAATTGCTCCTGGAATGGCTCATAGTTCTGCGTCAGTACATTATCTCTAGTATTATGAGAAGATCCCACTTTATACTAATCACTGAAGAAGAGAATGCCAGGAGATTACACTCCTAACCTGCTTGTGGACTTTCCAGAAACATTTTATTGGCCACTTTAGGAAGATAAAGCTGGCCTGGATCACTTATGGAAAAAGCCAATACTTAACAATGCACTTTGTGAAGAAAAGGAGCTTTTCCCTGTTATCTTTCTCCACAATTTACTATACTTTATGTACCTCTATTATGTCCCTCAGTTTTTAAAAAAGATCTAAAGCACCCTCAAATTTAGAACTTGCCATCATAAATGAACTTAATGTTCTTTGGTGTTCAAGGGTTTCTCCCTTGGTTGTTCGTATTGTTTTTGAACTTTGATTGTTTTTCTCTTGCATAACTCTCTTACATTGGTAACTTTATTGTGTTTAATCTGAAATACCAAGTGTGAGCAAGAGGAATTAGGTTTTTTTCCTCCAGAATATATATTGGGTCTCTTTAGTGTAAGTACTGCTGCATCATACACAAATTTGATGTTTCTATCCTTAAAACCATCCATACATCCATATTTCCTATTCAAGAAGTATAGATTGGAAAGAGCATAGTACATGTACTGTAATGTGTTTGTGGTTGCGACCTTCTTGCCTGATCTTAATTCCTTAACAACAAGTGGTTGTTTGTGCTATATTTTGTAATTTTACGTTGAATTGAGCAAAAGGAAATGGAACGTGCCCATAACAGAATTTCAGCCTTGGAAGAAATTTCAGTTACTGCTCTTACCAAGCTTATGGATCAAAAGGGATTGAGCCTCAATTGCTTAGGCAGTATTTATGTATGCTTAACTTGCTTTTTGGATTTTAGTGGAAATGCTCCTACATAAACTTGCTCTAAGAGTTACTGATATTTCAGATCAACCTTGACTTGGGTTTTTGTGCAGAGTTGAATCCTAAACTTGGCTTTATTTTTGAAGTCTAGATTTGATTCATATTTAATGTCAAGCATTTAGGAAAAATGGCATGAAAACCCTGAAGCCAAGCATTTTCTGGCCTCTTCATCCATCCCTAAATTTACTAGATTATCCACATGCCTTGAGGGACATATAAGTTATATTGGGATAGGGTTTGATATCCAAACATTGAATAGCATAACATCTGTTTTTACTCTTGGCACTTATAAAATCAAACAAATCTGAAGTAAAAGCATGCTGAAAATGTATATAATGTATAGCCTCTCACACACAGATAATGTTACATAGCACTCAATGAGTCCTATACTGTTCCACAGAGAATAAATTAGTAATCCTTGCTGGAACATAACATTGCAATAAAAGAAAAAAAAATACTTTTGAGAGGTAGAGATGATAGTCCCTCTTTTGTAGGACTAGGGTCAATTAAAACTCTTACAAAGCCCCCTTAGAAATGCTCACAATTCAGATCTTTGCCAGTTTAGCAATCCTGCCTGTTTTGAACATTCAAAGCAAGTACATTGGCATTCTTCCATCTCAAACTTCCAATCACATAATTTTTCCAGACTCCCATCCCACCCCCCATGTTCCCCAGTTAGATTGGAGAGAACTGCCAATACAGTTAT